CTATACGACTGCGTGACAAAGCATAATTAGGAGGTCTGAGTGAATTTCAATGTTACCGTAATAAAATGTCTTTTATCTATATAGATAACAATAGAAACCTCTTTAATGGACCACGATGGAATGGTGCTCCTTCTGGTACTAATCATTTGCACTTCCATCACGAATGGAAGATGATAGTGATGATCATAGAGCAAAATCTACTTTGTTATGTGGTTATGAGGGTGACAATAGTATTTATTTTATCTATGTAGATAACAGTAGAAACCTCTTTAATAGAGGACGATGGAATGGTGCTCCTTCCTTTACTAATTATTTACACTTCCATCACGAATCGAAGATGATAGTGATGATCATAGAGCAAAATCTACTTTGTTATGTGGTTATGAGGGTGACAATAGTATTTATTTTATCTATGTAGATAACAGTAGAAACCTCTTTAATAGAGGACGATGGAATGGTGCTCCTTCCTTTACTAATTATTTACACTTCCATCACGAATCGAAGATGATAGTGATGATCATAGAGCAAAATGTACTTTGTTCTGTGGTTATGAGGGTGACAGTAGAATTTATTTTATCTATGTAGATAACAATAGAAACCTCTTTAATAGAGGACGATGGAATAGTGCTCCTTCCGGTAGTAATCCTTTATACTTCCACCACGAATGGAAGACGATGGCGATGATCATAGAGCAAAATCTATTCTGTTCTGTGGTTATGAGAGAACAAATTTTACTTCTTTGTCTATGGTGATAAGGATGAGAATGAAGTCGCATCGGTCTAGGTATTTTCCACGTATAATATCTATTTATTTACAAAAAATATTTATACTCGTCATGCCACAAGTTCCGCTTAGTTTGGAACTAGATGGGTGTTGCCCGGGGTTATTAATATTATTGTTATGAATTTTATTCTATCCCCCACCTTATACAACTTAAGTTTAAGAAAAATTTGTAAAAAATAAATACACGACAAATATATTATAACATATTGGTTTTGATAGCACTTCTTCCATAGGTGCGGATTCGATATTATTTTTAATGTAACTGAAACTTTAAAAAGAACATAAAATCCGCACAATTCACTTGTTGAAAGTAATAACCATTACCTATGAATCATCATCATCACGCACGAACAGAACGCACATCATATCTCATATCCAGAACCATACTGAATGTCCAAAATTTACAACATTTGGAAATACCACTATAATTTTTCATCATAAGTCTAATTTTTATTGCACTATACCACTCTTGTTACAAAATTAAACAACTATGGAAAATGCATTCTAAAATTTAGTTTTAACGTCTAATTTTGAATGGATTATACTACTCTTGTGTTAGAAGACTAAAACTCCCCGTGGTGGTAATGTGAACCAAACATACCTAAAGAACATCTATTAGAAACAGTTATATAAATATAGAGCTTTTAGCTATATATATAGAGCTTATAGCTATATATAAAGAGCTTATCAAATTTGGTTCGGATTCAGTAAAATCTTGATTGCCTGCAATTAATATCAGATTTTATTATCTTATCCTTCACATGAATACGCGGTCGTAATTTTGAAGCCTTTTTACTCATCCTCCTTGCCGCAAGTTGTAAGACGTAGCGACATAATATTATAATTTTATTTTATCAACAAAGTCGCCTTAATTGATAGTCATAACGATAGTTCATTGCCATTATTTTATACTGTATTACTGTACAAGATCATTGAAGAATATGTTAATTACAAATATATAAAATACTACGCGACCCAACTACGTGTTGCTAAGGCAATAAAATAATATTGCGACTATAAATTGAGATGTAAGCTGAATAGCTTACATCTTGAAAGACAGGATTATCTTTCAAGTTGGATCAAATTGCACACAATGTGCAAATCAAATTTGCAATCGGTTCAGTAGTTTAGGAGTCCATCGCAGGCAAACAACGTGACACGTAAAGTTTATATATCAATATTATAAATATGTTATGATATAATTATAAAGATGATATATCGCGCAGTAATTAGGAGATAAACTCACATATAATTTTTTTTCGTACATAAAAGTAGATTTAATGACATTTTCTATGTCAGTGTTGAATTTCATTTCATTTATGTATTTTATATTGCTATATATGAAACATGCATTTCAAACAGATTTGTACATTATCCAATTGACACTGTATTACGTGTATGTACATATATTAACTGGAAATATAAAGTCTTGTTTGTCCCAGCAAACTTTGTAACCTTTCTATTGGAGGTTAAGTTATGACAGTAAAATTAAATAGCACGGAGACATGACGTTCTAGTCCGTAATGGCAATGCATTAGGAGTGTTAGATTCATCACACGATGATGTAATTTCATGGTGTTCTTCATATAACAGTTTACATCCAAAACAACTCGTGAAATCTGTTTCAAACAAATTGTTTGTAACCGTCTTATATAATCAAACGTTGTTGCAACGCTCGCCGCTTACCACTTAACCTACAATACAATATCACAAGAGACGCCGTGAAGCGACGCATTCCCTTGTTTACGAGGCAATGCTCTCAGAAGCTCTACGCCTCGACCACTTAATATCATAGGCTTTACAAGTAAATCGAAGGTGGTTATCTTGAAGGTGGGAACTTGTTTATGGTTTATATATGGGGTAGGTGCTTCAGTTTATGAACTAGTGACTCGCCCCAGCTTGACACGGATGTAGTCACTGTAGGGTTAGATTTTTTTAAATAATACAAGAGCCCATGTTATCTCTGATGATGTAGCTTCTAAGAAGTCGGATATATTTTTATACTACGATGGTGGCAAACAAGCATACAGCCCACCTGTAAACGGTTACCGTAGCCTATGGACACCTACGCACGTTTCCTGAAAATTATTTCTTAATATTCGGGGAAATAATCCTTATACCCTTTTTGAAAAACCCCGTGTGTAGCATCTCTAAAACCTCTGCAGGTAGTTCATTACAGTAAAAAGTATCGTATATAAACTATTTTTTTCTGAATGACTCTTCAATTCTAAGCACTTATAAGAAAACAAATTAATCTGAGAAACAAAATGGAGAATTTGTTTTTAGAGAAATAGAGAATTTCTCGTCTTCACGCCACTAGCCACGAATTCTGCATTTATTTTTGATAAAGCTGTTGTGGCCAGTTACGGTAAAACAGTATTAGAATATTTTGAAAAATAAAAACAGTAATTCTCCAGGGTTATGAAACATATATATATGTAGTATATAAATTGTCTGACGTTCGTAGCTAGGTTAGAATATAGAAGTAGATATACAAAGAGAAAGTTAGTTGATGATTCTTTTATAATATATTTTTCTAGAATGAATTGCTGAAAAACATACTACTATTACATATGAGAAAGTTTGTTAGTACTTATCGATGTTTGTTAGTCTTTTACGTAAAAACTACTGGACTGATTCGAATCAAATTTACTAAACAGATAGATTGTTTAACAGAAGTTATAATCTATCTAGAATCTCATAAAACAATTATTCAATTTTTTAGTTTTTGGTAAATTTAAGTATATAATATTTGTATCGTTTTTTCAGTGAATGAATTAACACATGTTTTTGTTTTAAATAAATAAATTTACACGGACTAGAAAGTTTTTGGACAGACGAAGTCGGGGGTAGCAGCTAGTTTTCAGTTTCAATATTTATGTTTATGACATTTTTTCTAGAGTCAATAATATGGAGATAGTATCAGTAGGTCCCTAGGGATATTATGTAAATACCCGAGAAATGAAAAAGTAAAAGAAATTGTCGCTTTATCACGCTCAAGTACCTACAATCTGTGTCGGCTCTATTCATATGCAATATTTTAGGGAAATTACAGCAATATATATAAGGGATACAATAAAAAAATGGTTTTTATTACTCTTCTGGTAATGGCAAAATATGAGGTGCCATTGGCGTTAGATGATGGATAACGTGTTGTCACTGAAATGGTTGGACCGATTTTGACGCAACATATGAGGTGCCATTAGATGATGGATAACGTGTTGTCACTGAAATGGTTGGACCGATTTTGACGGGACTTTTATTGGCAGTTAGCTGATGTATTAAGAAGTATCTTAGGCTACTTTTATTTTAGAAAAATATCTTTTATTTTAGAAAAATTAAGCGGATGAAGTCGCGGGAACAGCTAGTTCATGATAATATGAAATAATGAAAATAACTTAATGACGAATATATGTCAGTGGAAAAAAGTCATGTAAGTCTGTTAATGACACATATGATAAATCATCTATCAATTTAGAGTGAAGTATTGATCAAGAAGATATATAAAAAACTCGGCTGTTACTATATATATTAAAATATCAGTTTTTGTTTAATTATAAATAACTCACATTGAAAATAAATAAATATATATATATATATATGTTAACCAGAGATATAAGCGGGGAATGTCACGTCACACCCTCATATAAAACATGAAGTAATAAGTCGACGTGAACCGGACGTTTCATAGGATTATTTACCCGACCTTCAAGGATCGTGGATAAACAGTTACACCTTTAATAATGAAGATATATATATATGTATACTAGCTGTCCCGGCAAACGTTGTGTTGCCTTAAAATAAAAAAAAAAATTTAGGGGTGGACTACCCCTAACATTTAAGGGGATGAAAAATAGATGTTGGTCGATTCTCAGACCTACTCAATATGCTCACAAAATTTCATGAGAATCGGTCAAGCTGTATCGGAGGAGTATGGGAACGAAAACTGTGACACGAGAATTTTAATAAGATATTATTATGCCTTGTACAAATACAAGATAGATACCAAGTTGCATTTTTTTAGCATAGTGTATAAGTGATTACCGCCGCCCATAAGTACCCGCAACACCAGGTGAATTACAAGTGCGTTCCCAGCAAGAAGGTATAAGCACTTTTCTTGGAATCGAACCTACTACCATCGGAAAAAACAAGTATGCTAAACAACTGGACCACAGAGGCCGATAAATACATACAAATATTAGATAAACCGTACTTACTAGTATAAGTGCGAAGAGTGGCAACGGAGCGTGGTGGGTCGCCATCAATGTACCAGCTCCTATACTCAGCGTCACCAGTATGGAGCCTACCAGCGCCAGCATCTCCCATTCTGCTGCTGGTGGTAACAACGCCAACGCCAGTACAGTCGACAGCACAAACGTTATCACTGATAACGACACTATACTCTTCACTTGTGTTTCTAGTTCCTGAAAGGAAATATATCAAATTAATAAATAGTTAAAACAAATAACCTTGATGGTCTAGTGGTTTAGAACACTGCTTTACTTCCGATGGTCGCAAGTTCAAATCGTGCGATGGTCTATTGTTTAGTACGCAGGTTCTATCTCGTACAGTAGCAACACTTTTATTCATGAGTATTGTTTTGCATTGGGCTGGGTGTTCTCTATGTATTTGAAAAAATATGTATTTATATCAGTTGTGTTTTAATAATAACACAAATTCCGCTTAGCTCGAGACGAGACTACATGTACCTACACCCGGGCGAAGCCGGGGCGAGTAGGCAGTTACATAGTATAAAATAAAGTCGCTGTCGCTGTCTCTCCCTATGTATGCTTGAATCTTGAAAACTACACAAACGATTTTGAAGCGGTTTTTCTTAATAGACAGAGTGATTCTAGAGGAAGGTTTATATGTATAATACATGTACACCCGGGCAAAGCCAGGGCGAGTAGCTAGTAATATTATATCGCATTAATTATATTAGAGAGATTACATTCCGTAATGATTATCTAAATTGCTAATGTTAGTTAAGCGAGTTAACCGTACAAACTCAGCTGGTTACAATGTAACATGCCTGGAGGCACTTGAGACAACTCATCACGGACGACCCTCCCGTTCATACAGCCTTGCTTTTATTGTACTCGGTGGTGCTGCACAAGTAATTAGGCCCGTCTAATTAATTTCATTATTTAAATATATTAATTAATATATTTAAATAGAATAGAAAATCATTTATTCAAATAAACTTAATTTAAACACTTTTGAATAGTCATAACAATTTGTTTTTTATCTACCACTCGTTCGGAAAGCTGTCTCATCACAAGAAGAACGAGCAAGAAACTTGTGTGTTGCTCTTTTAAATAATCCTTGTAAGTTTACATTTACAAGTCGAAACGTGTGAATACAAACTACCAACAAGCACTAATTTTTTGGGTCAAATATAAATATACAATAAGATTAAATCAGTCGTAGTGATAAGAGCAGACCAGTCCCTACAAGCAGCACTCGTTTCACGAGCATGACGGATGAGCCAGCCATCACTGCGCTCGACCATATTTTAGGGAGCCCAATGACCCGGCCCACCACGCCGCCACATGTCTGGACATTTTAGTGAGCATGACTACTCATTCCACACGACCACGTCACAGCTACAAAATAATTATTAAAATAATAATAATAATCTCAGGACAATTCACACAGCGCCATCTAGACCCAAGTTAAGCTAGGTAAAGCTTGTGTTATAGCTACTAGATAATTGATACATATATTTAGATATTTTTATTTTGTTAATAAATACATATTATACATAGAAAATACGCAGACCGATACAAACAATCATACTCATGAATACAAATGTTTGTGCCGTGCAAGGAATCGAACCCGCGACCATCGGTCGTAAAGTGGTGCGCTAGACCGCTAGACCACCGAGGTCGACAAAAATAATTATTTAAATATATTAATGCGTGAAGCACAAATTTTCTACTAACTTTTACGAAAATTGCGCGGACGAGGTACGAATTTTGTACACATATAGTTTATAACAAGACAAGGAGCGCAGGAGTCTAGTCTATACATATAAATAAAATTGGAGTATCTGTTTGTAATAACAATAACCGTTTTTTACTACATGCATACGAATATAAATACTGTAAATATACCAAAATCACATTTTTTTAAATTTTTGTCTGTCTATTTGTTTGTTCCGGCTAATCGGCGATATGGCTGAACTGATTTTGGCGGGACTTTTTTTGTAGATAGCTAATGTAATAAGGAGTAACTTAGGCTGCTTTTATTTTAGAAAAATTAAGGTTCCACGCGGACGAAGTCGCGTGTACAGCTAGTACAAAATAAAGTCGCTGTCGCTGTTTGTCCGTCCCTATGTACGCTTAAATCTTTAAAACTACGCAACGGATTTTAAAACGCTTATTTTAATAGATAGAGTGGTTCAAGATGAAGTTTTATATATATAATACATGTACACCCGTGCTAAGTAAGTTTATAAAATTATGCATAAATCAATAATTAAATCAATAAAAAACACTTTCAATCACGCTTTAGCACAACGCCTTATTTTCGATGGTCGCGGGTTCGATTTCTCGCACGGTACAAACATTTGTATTCCTTAGTATAACTGTTTATGGTCTTTGCCAAACTGAAGAGGAAACGCCACTACACATCCTCTGTGGTGGTAGCCCACTCATGCATAAACGAAATATCTCCTTTGGAAAGTTTACACTCTTTCCCGAGGAGATAAAAACGATCGCTCCTAAGAATATCCTTCAATTCTTGTCCCTGACGGGTCTAGGTAGAGAACTCCGAAAAAAGGGCGAGCACAATAGATCTAAGTAGGTCGCAGTGCTACAGGTGCTACAGGCATCTGACAATAGACCAAACAACTCATTAAAAAAATCGGTATTGGTGTTTTGTATATATGTACATCATCATCTGCTTCTTCCTTATCCCATTTATTTGTGGTCGTCGTAATATGTTTTTCTCTTCCATTCATCTCTGTTCGCAGTCATCCCGTTATTTACTCCCTTTCTCACCAAATCATCTTTCACACAGTCCATCCATCTCTTTTTCGGTCTTCCTCTACCCTTATAACCATCCACATTCATATGTAACACCGTTCTTAGGATATGATCTTCATTCCTACGCATTACATGCCCATACCACGATAGACGATTACTCTTTAACCTCTCCGACATCGGTGCCACTTTCATACTTTCTATGTATGTACATATTTACAAAAAAAATATTCATATCAGTAGTCTAGTACCCATAAAACAAATTGTGCTAATTTGGGACTAAATGGCGTTATGGGAATTATTCAATGTTGTTATTTATTTATTATTTATATTTTAAGGTTTTTTGTTACACTTTGTATTGAATGAGAGAATTGAAACAACTTTCCCGCTTGGTTTTATGGTTTACCAATAATAGGTTTGCATAAATTGCAACACTGAGATAGAAATAGCTTAGAATAAATGTTGCTAGTATACATATAGAGACCACTGTGCAAGTAATCACTACGTTATAACTATGTATATATAATAATAATAAAATAAAAATAAAAATAAAGAGCCTTTTTATTTCTTGCCTATTACAAAATTATGGTGTTAGTAACTTAGAAATATATATTTATCACTAATTGTTAATTTATAATTATTGAAGTATTTTTATTATTATTTTTTTCAGCTTTTGCTGGTTTTCTCCACACTTACGGGCCGAAACCAAGTAAGTGGGTGTGTATGTGTGTGTGTATGTGTGAGTGTGTGTGTGATAATTGTGTGCCTGGTGTGACTGGTGTTATATCCTTTTCACCTATTTCGAGAAATTTTCGGACTGTACGACAGGTATTTAAGATGGCAGCCTTTTGAAGGGATATACAGTGTTTTTTGGTATATTTATTATTATTATTATTATTTACTATATGTATTTATTATTATTAATCCATTTGTTACTAATATGTATTTGTATATTTACATATATTTAGTTATCCTATGTATATATATTCTTCTATAATACCAGAACCAAATTACAGAAGTATCTAAAGTAGTAAGTTCTAAAAATTTAAGTTCAAACATTAAGTCATGTTATAGGACTGATAAGTAAGTTATATACAATAAGGCAATACCAAGACCAATCCATCATACTTTTAAATAGAAACGTATGTATCCTGCGCGGAATCGAACCCGCAACTATCGCAAGTAGGTATACTAAACCGCTAGACCACCGAGGCCGTCTATGCATTGTGTTTATAGGAGTAATAAAAATTTAAAGTATTCTCAGTCACTTTGTTCACACTTATATCAAAAATTTAGACAAATTGATATATTTGTCTTGAGTCTTAATATATAAAAGTAAAAAAACTGTACACCAAATAGAGTTGTTATCTAGTCTGGTAACTTTGTTTAGTACACCGACTTATTTAATAAAATAAAGTGGTCTAGAGTTTGCTGTAGATTTATAAAAAATATATATGACCACTTTTTATGATAGCTCTTATAAAACAATATACCTTCTTTGAACTCCAACCTTTTCTACCATGATGGATCATCGTTCAAAGAAGAAAAGATTGGAGTCTTGAAAAGAGAGTAAAAATATAACTTTAGTATTAATAATATTTAGTAACTTTACTAAAGTAATTGAAATGTGACTCTATGACAGGAGGACAGAGGGATGAAATTGGAAATGAAATCATAAGGGATTTACAACTTAATACACTAAAAATCGAATTTTAAAATTTGTTTGTGGTCGCAAATAGCCATATCTAACGTGTCTAACGTGCACCATCGATGTTGTTTTGTTTTACTTTATATACATTTTTTCACTTCTTCTCGAACTGTGGCGTCATTAATAGATTCAGAGTACAATAAATTCTAAACATTTATTTATTTCATAAATACAATAAATTAAGCATAGCAATATTCCTCCAGCGAAAGAAATTATTTTTTCTTTTTCTTATATATTTTATTTTGAAAGGTCGTATAAATGATTAACTTGACATATCTTCTGCTAAGATTTTATCTCAATATATACCTTAGATGTCTTAAAAAGAATCTAAATATTCCTCGTTACACGTATAATAATTCTAGCGCCTAAACCTATCTATTTCATCTTAATACAGTCCTGTATACAAATCTATATGTAGATATAAAACTTAATCACAAAAAGTGCCAATCTAAGCATTCATACGAAGATAAACAATAAAAGGAATTTCCAACTTCCAAAATACTTTCCCTTAAGGGACCGGTGGGAATTTTCCAATATTAGTTTGTACGTCACTATGTCCTGAACGCCGGCACTCGCGGTCCGGAGGGTTCATCACAGCAAATAATAAATAAATACAGGGCCGGATTAACTATAAGCCAGGGTAGACAAATGGAGCTCTATATATTGTAATATGGAGTCTTTTTTTCAAACATACAAATATTATAAAGTTGATTATACATTGGACGAATTA